GGTATAGCAATAAAATAAGATTGCGGGTGTCTATGTTCTAGTCGTGATTCCTATTACATCGTAAGTTAACGTTCTCTAAATGGATCTTGTGTTAGCCGCCACCACCCAAATGCAAAAACACATCAACTCACCATCACCAATCGTCGTACCATTCATAATACCATAAGAGTTGAATCTAAACCGTCCCACTACCTCCTACTTCTGCCCCTGACTCTCCATAACCATCCTCGAAAACACACTCTTACTCCTAATCTTCGGGCCGTAGAAGAACAGGATCTACCAGCGTTTGAGTCCAAAGCAAAAGGAAGAGAGAAGGAAGAGGACGTACAAAAGGAATAGGAATCATAACAGTAGCGATCAACGCAAACATCGTACTTGCCCATTTGTACGTCAACGCGCGAAACATTTGGTTTGTGAATAAGGGAAAGGCGAAGCCTGCGAGGTTTCCTGCAAGGGCGTGAGTGTGTTTTGAATGAGGAAGAGCAGAGGGACGTACGGCAGAGACTTTGCCCGGCTAGTGCTGAGGATGCGAATGGGCCGTAGCTAGAATCAAGCATTAACATGGTAAGAGGAGGAATGGGAATAAGGAAATAAAGAAACACACCAATCAGCGAGATACGAAAACACTGCGAGGTAGATCACATATGCCGACCAAGTGAATACCTTTGATTCCAAACCTCAGCTTGGATGAACACGATCGAGTAAAAAACAAACAGTCTTACCAAAACACCCATAGCCAACCCAACCCACGACACACTACTAAACGACGTCCAAGCGTATATGAACATGCCTCCGGGGAAGAGGATAGCTGCGGCACAGGCAAAGTAGAGACGAGCTTCTGGGCCGCGGGTTGGGTAGCCTTTTCTGTAGAGCCGGTGAGCGAGCAGGAAGATGAAGAAGGATGGGTCAGGGACGTACTGATATAATCGCTCTTGGATATAGTTGGTTATGAAGCCTATGGAGGAGCCGATACTGTCGGGCGAGTTAGCGTGAATTGCAGGAAGGAAGGAGTGGAGAAAGAGAAGGGAAGGGCACGAACATCATAGCGCAAAACACAGTCCCGACTTGGCCGATGGTGAAGTTGTGTATGTCGTGGAAGAGTGAACCGACGGATCTGGGAAGCCTGTGAGTGACTTGGAGTGGTACTGAGAGGTGTTATACGCACTCTAGCATGCAATACAATACACCCCATGCGAAGCCTATCCATAACTATCCAGGTAGACAGTCAGCTAGGTGAAAACGGTCAAAGGCTCAGGTAGCTCACACTAAAGCTCGCTACCACCGGCTCCGTGAACATAAGATCTAAAAAAAACGCATAAGCAACGTTCACGCCCAGGAGGTGAAAAAAGAACACTCACGAATCGGCCTCGTACACGAAATATAAATCAACGTCTTAAGCGACGCCCGCTCATCTTCCACTCTCGCTCTATAGCGCTTATCCCCAGTTTCCTTCCGTATCCGTCTCGCTATCCTCGTGAGTATAATCGACGCTCGTGTTTCTTTCATTACGAGTGGGATTAGGACGAACATCGCTGATGCGTTTCTGCGAATACCAAAAGGTCATATTAGATCGTTACCAATATCAACCCGGTAGAAAAGGAAAAGGAAACACACATCATCTGAACCCATTGAATCCACCTCCACCCCAGGTTCGTATTCATCTCTATCCACCCGGCAAAGACAGGTCCGAAACCCGTTCCTCCGATTGCTGTTAGAGCGAATAGTGCCATCGGTAAACCACGTCTAAATAGAGTGTTGATAAGGTATTGGGTATGATCAATTAAAAAGAAAAAGAAGAGGTCCTCACTGACTCGGCGCCCAAATATCCGCAACAGTACCACCCACCATCGTCGAACCCGTGGACCCAAAACCCCCTTGGAGGAATCGCGCGATGAGGATGGTTTGGATATTTTTAGCTCTGTCCTCTGATCAGTAACATAACACGGGAAAAAACAATAGAACGGGAAGCAAAAGAATAATTATAGAAGAGAGCGCGGGCGGGAACTCACTCCGCAATCATCAGATACATCAACATAAAACCCAGACTAGAAACAATATAAAGCGGTTGACGGCCGAATTCCTCGCTAAAAGAAGCTGTTACGAGGGGGACCAAGCCGAATCCCAATGCGTAGAGGCTTAAGCCGACTGTTGCTTGGTATTCGGTGCATCCAATGGAGGGGATCATGCTTGGGAAACCCATGTTGTAGGCTCCTGCTGTTCCGGCTGTTGGTTGTTGAGTGTTGGGTGTTGGGTGTTAAGGGTGATGGGGAAGGAAGCGTACCAGATAAGAGAGTAAAATAACACGCTAGGGCTGTTATCATCCATTTTTTGGTCGGTGAAAAGTTCATGGGGTTGCGTTGGTCGCCTGGTTCGAATTCGATCTGCGAAAGGCGTTAGCCTAAGCACGGAGTTCGAGGAAAGGGGTTGGTTGCGACTGACGTAGATAGGCTCTTGTTCATCGCTGGTACCAGAGGACTCTCCTTCTTTCTCGACCGACTCCTTATGATGCACGAGTTGATCCAAGTAGCTTCTATCGAGGTCTTCTGCAGACGGTGGCGTGATAATATCGACTCTGGGATCCAGACTGGGTTCTCGAACGTCCTTTAGGGATTTTATGGCCACGCCTTCGAGTTGCACCGTTCGAGCCGACTCTGCGTCATAGTTTCCTCCGTTCATCACGAGAACCTGCGAAAAGGAAGAAAAAAAAGTCGCGTTAGGCGGTGGGATTGACTCTCACTTATTTAAAGTGGGTTGTGATGAACGAAGTCGAGTCAGCATTTGTGAGCGAACGGTCATGAGGGATCTTGCCAGGTTTGTGCCGACGAGGGATATAGATCAACCATAAGCTTGCCGTCCACGTGGGTTTTTTGTGGAAAGTGAAAATGACAGAAATTGATCGTTATCCCCTGTTATCACCGTGCCTTTGTTCGATGTCGTCCGCGGTGTCGGTGTGTTCTTCTTCGCGATGGCTTGCATCGTCTCTCTTCACAGAGGTATGTTTCCAAGTAGTCCTTACGATATCCCGAGACCTGATGGTGTCGTAGGCGCTGTTTCTCCTGGATTACACGCTCCAAACACTTTCTGCAAGAACTATATTCAGAGTGACGCGAGATCTATAAGCGTTTTTGGTTCCGAGGGGCATAACCGAGTCATGGTGGAAGGACGGAGCTCCAGAGTGGCTGATAGCGGATTATCATTGTGGCGAAGGGTTTGCGGTAGACAGGTGCGTGTTCTTCATTTTGCTTTTCTCCGTCTATTAATTCCTCTTTTCTCCAAGAGGTTATGTCGTGTCAGTAAACCATGGAGGATGCTTTGTACCGTTCAGACACACACACCTTCCGCAGCCTGTATTCCTTGACTCCTTCATTTCCTCCAACTACACCAACTTCACAACGGAACATCTGGCGGATCCAATCAGAAAACGTAACCGGCTTGGCCCCCTGCAACCTCTCAGATCAGCATTCCGTTCCATTCATAAAGTCAGTCCAATGAAAAGACTCGCCTCTCGACACAAAGCTCTTTGTTCATCATTCATTCACGACTGTCGACACTGGAAGGAAGAAGCCGCAAACACGAGTTTTACCCTTACCGAGCTCCCGCACAAAGAAATTTTTTTTTTTTTTGCAAATCGGCCAAACGTTCGCAAACAGACCCAAGTACGATAAATAGGACCCCGCGGCTTTACGGATTCTTTGGGAGACCTTGACCTCTGACCACTACCATCCACTTGGATGGCGCGACTTTCGTCGGACGGGCTTCTGGTTCGTTTCGATTCGGTCGTGGCTAACACTGTCGAATTAATCTGTGACCGGACGTCTGGAGGCCGATTCCTCCAGTATGAAAGGTTTTCTGGGTTCTTTCATTGGTGCCGGCGGTGGTAAAGTCAGGCGCGTAATGCTTAATCTCCCCAAGCATCATGACTATTGGTGCTACGTCCTGACTGGACATGGACTTCTGACTATATGTCGAAGTACCGAGAACTGTCTCACATAGAGACTCGCTTCGCATTGAAGCTCACCTCGCAACGAGGTACACCTACTACGGTGTCGGCCTACTACGGCCCCTAGTTCACTATGAACTACGTCTCACTAGAGACTCGCTTCACTAGAAGCTCACCTCACTTTGAGGTCTACACCACTAGGTGTTCAGCTCGACTACGAGCTCTCTCCGCTAGGAGACGGATGTCTATCATCCCCGCCGTCGGCCATCTGGCATCAAACCTCTCGGGCACCGGACCTCGACGCAAGTCTTCAAGACCGCCGTCTATCAAGAGATCTCGTTCGGCCACGTCAAGCCCTCAAGAGTACTCTTCGCACCTACCTCCGGCCGGACCTTACGCATGCACAAGTTCTCACGTCTACGAGGCAAGGGGCTCTCGTACCGCAAGGTCATAGTTCCTGTCGACCTAGTCCACCGACGAAAGAGTCTCACATCGTGGACTCGACTCACCTCTCCGCTCACGCGATTGGTGTAAGAGGAACACTCTGTTCCTATCGGATGTCATTCCGATGCAAAGACCCAAGTTGGTCTTGCGCCCCATGCGCGTCACACGATCGCCTTGGGAAGTCTTCGTACACGAAGAAGAGACTGACTGTCTCTAGGCCTGATATGGCCTCACCACTGACTGTGGTTATGCCCTCGAAGACCGAGGCGCTCAGTCGAGATACTCGACCGGCTAGTAAAAGCCGTATACCACTTGACTTTGTGGTTATGCCTTCTGATTAGGCATGTCAGTTCTGTCAAGAACTTGACGGGCCAGATGAGCCCTGGGTTGGACCTCTCGCTGCTTCTCATATCTTCTGTTGGACCTTTTGGGTTGTCAATGGTCGACGTGGCTGGAGCCTTTGGCTCTGGTGGTGGTGAAGTCACCCCGACCTCAGGAAAGAGGTCGAAGTCCAAAAAAATAATTGGGCCGGGCGGGCGCCTAGTTGGCGCCCGTTTCGGTCTAGACTAGGAGTTGGTCGTGGAACATGATGTATGTACAGCACCCTTACAGTGATTCCCTCTTAGCTCAGTTGGTAGAGCGCGTCACTAGTATTATAGGGATGGACTCATATACAGTATGACGAGGTCAGTCGTTCAAGTCGGCTAGAGGGAAAATATTTTTAAATGTTTTAAACCACCCAAATGTTTTGCTCGTCCTTGGTATCCAAAGTTTCAGTATTCTGATTCCCAGTGAGAGTGAACGAAAGTCCTAAGTCCAAGTCGATAGTGAGGGATTCTCGAAGAAACATTATGTAAACGCATCATTGACCATGGTCCAACTCACTTTCACGCACCACAAAGTCGATACTATTCCCTTCCCACCACCTTCAAGATATCCCCTTGACACAGACTCGGCCTGAGATACGATGCAACGATATCGTGACAGGATACTCGTGATTGTGTGTGTGTCTTTTGAGATGGCCATAATATTCCTCTGGCTTACTTACGTCCAGCGACGCCTTTTGTTTCTCCCAGCTCGCGATTATGTATCACCCATATCTCAAGCGATATCGGGAACTTAGGCCATTCCCCATTATACCATCTCATTCTCGACCGCTGCCAAACTAGAGAGCCACTCACGCACGTTATCATCAATGTCTCACACACCCGCTCACAAAGACTCGACGCCTTGAACGACGGCCTATGGCATAACGACCCGGCAAATCTTCATATATGAACTGGGCACTGACGATGATATGGGAGTGCATCGAGTTGGCCTGCTTTGTCTCAATACCTCTTCGCCCAGAAAACTATTGTCGCGGCCGACTTTGGACAATCAAATTTTCAACCTCCACAAGAACCTCCATCCACCCTGTCTCACATCCCTTATGATCTCGCGGGTTTATCGATAGTCTTATTGTCAACTTAGCCGAAGGATTCTGGGATAAAATGACGCGTTTTTGGAGGTATGTTTTCCTCAGTTTCCTAGTCGTCCTCGTTCTCACTTTCCTAGAGTTAGAGTTTCCTCAACATGGCTATTGAAATCCCCTCTGTCATTCCAGATGGTCCCGACCACTTCATCCTGCCCGATCTAGTCTCTCATTGCACCTTTCCTCTCGTCTATCACCCCAACGGCGACGCCGTCGCTGCCCAGTCCGTCAGATGGCTCGACACCAGCTGTCATTTGTTGACCTCGAAGCGGAGAAAAGCACTCTACGGTCTCAAAGCGGGCGAGTTGACTGCGTATTGCTACAACACCGCTTCCGATGAACGTTTACGCGTCGTATCAGATTTCATGAACTATCTCTTTCATCTGTGAGTCGTCTTTTACGTGTTATGGTTTTCATACTTTCATACTGACAAATGATTTTGAAGGGACAATATCAGCGATGGGATGATGACGAAGGATACCGACGTACTCGCCGATTCGGTTATGAACGCGTTGTGGTTTCCCGAGTTTTATCGGCCTACTGGACACGATGGGAAAGAGCAACCCGAGGAGGAGATTAATGCTGGGAAGCTAGCTAGAGAGTATGTGCTCATTTCCTTCTCTTGGTTTCGTGACTGATTGGTTTTGGCTTCGTAGCTTCTGGGGTCGATGCATCAAGGACGCCGGTCCAGGTTGCCAAGCGCGATTTAAGGAGACTCTGGAGCTTTTCTTTGAAGCCGTCAATGTTCAGGCCAAAGCTCGAGATGCGGATACTATTCCTGATCTCGAGTCGTACATTGATGTGAGGAGAGATACCTCTGGTACGTATCCTTTTCTTGCCCTATATCCTTCTCTGGGTACTCATAGTTTTCGATGTCGAACAGGTTGCAAGCCATGCTGGGCACTCATTGAGTACGCTCTCGGCATTGACCTCCCCGACTACGTTGTCTCCGATCCCGTCATTTGCGCTCTCAATCAGTACACCAACGATCTCGTTACCTGGTCTAATGTTCGTCTTTCCTTCACTATCCCCTACGGAGTAACGCTAACGCGCCATATGCAGGACATTTTCTCGTACAACGTCGAACAGGCCCGAGGTGACACTCACAACATGATTGTCATCCTCATGGAATACCACGACCTCGATCTCCAAGGCGCCGTGGACCGCGTTGGCGAGATGTGCAAGGAGACCATCGATAACTTCAACGAAGCGAGGGAGGATATTCCTTCGTGGGGTCCGGAGGTTGACGATATGGTGCAGAGGTATGTGAAAGGGCTGCAGGATTGGATTGTCGGGTATGTTTTTCGCGTTTCTTACTGACGTTGGACATGCGTTGATCTGGGAACGTTAGGTCTCTGCACTGGAGCTTTATGACGACGCGTTACTTTGGGCATAATGGCCAGGATGTGAAGGCGAACAGGTATATAAAGCTTTTACCTGTTCACGAGGAGGCAAAGTGGTAGATCTAGAGATTAGAATTCTTTTTCGGTTCTCTCTTTTCGTGTTCTGCTGTATCTAATACTTGTTCTGTTTGTATATTTCGTGAACTGTATTCTCTGTACACTAGATGTGTATATCTGTATCTAGCTAGAAGTTAATTGTAGTGTTACAAGTGCAATATTTGCGTTCGGGTTTGCGTTTTGGTCTCGACTACAAGCCATCTATCTATTATCTATCCATCCTCCTTCGCTTGGTACCACTACTACGCCCGCTCCACTACACTCTCAGCACTCCACTCGGCGTTCTCTTGTGCCCGCGTTCCTCATGGTAGACGTTGCCTCACTTCGTTAGCAGTCGTTAGCCCGTCGACTTGGACCAATCAAATGCTACACAGCAACCGCGTTGGCATCAGTTTTTCATTGGTTGACATTCAAGGAACCGTCCTTTCGGTTCTACATCGCTATCGACAAGGTTTTCGTGGCAAGGATTGGAGGAGCAAATGGGGTGAGGAGGGGAGGTCACTGGTACGTTTGTGTCTCTTGGACGCAATCAGAATGCTCAACACAACAACCTGGATTGGACGTCTTGCAGGTCGCATGCTATTATTGGTCGTCGTCTGGTCGTCCCGAAATCCGAGCACCCCGATGTCAAATATCCCGTCGTGGGGTGCAATTTTGACTCGCAGCGTCCCTTCAGTCTATTCTCCAATCTGTACCTGGTACCCTCAATATCATGACCGGGCTATATTGTCCATCATACGGCTGTGAGTCATTTTATCCCAATCCAAGGGATGTAATTGTTGATCATCACCATTTCCAGCAAAGATCTGCTTGAAACACCCACCTACACGCTACCCGTGGCCCAGAACAGATGTGATGATTGACGTTAGCGGTTATGGGCGACACCATATATAAAGACGCAGTCGATTTTCTTGGGTCTTTAGGCCGGCCTCCGCGATGTTTTCGTGTTCATTCGTTCTTTCTATCCTCTTTTTTTCGCTCGCCCTCGTTTCTTCGCCCGTGGCGGCAGAGATCATTCCCCTGGTAGGAAGAAGAATCAGCTCGACGACGACGACGGATGTGCCATTCAAGCATAGGTTCAAAAGACAACGTGTCGACGAAAATGGTTCTTTTGGGAATGGGAGCATTATTCTCTACAATACGAACAACGATAATTTGCAATACTCGTGCGATATTACGCTGGGAGGAAGGAATTATAATGTGATAGTGGATACTGGAAGGTATGTGATAACGGTCTCCGGAACTGGACGTTGGCTGATGATGAGATAGTTCCGACCTTTTCGTCTTTGGGTGTGTTTAGTATCGTGTCTGTGCTACGGCGGATCATTGACGCCCTTCTAGGAAGCCCCCAACTACAACAGACACAGGTTTGACGGCGGATCTGGTTTACGGGGTTGGGCAAGTTAACGGGCCCATACATACTGCGGATATTGTCTTCAACTCCTTCAAAGTCGCCGACCAAGCCTATGGTGCGTGAAAAGCCATCCTTTCGTGATCTAGAGTGGTTTGTCTGATGGGAATCTCCTTAGTACTTGTCAACACCTCGAAGGATATTGCTAATACCACAGAAGGAACCGGTCTGCTTGGATTGGGTCCTAGCTCATCCTCAGTTCTCCGAAAAGGAATGAAGACCGGCACGGCAAACCCTGTGTTGGATCGCATTTTCATTCAAAATACGACCACGCCAAACTACATCACCGTACTCTTGTCGCGTGCTTCCGAGTCTCCGAGCGTGAAACTACAAGAGGACCAGCAGGGTGTATTGACAATCGGAGAAGTTGTACCAGAGTACTCTGAGGTGCAGAACATGCCCAAGTTGCAAGGTATGCGTCTGCCCTGCAAAATTCTTCTCGGTGCTGATTTACTCACTTCTTAGCACTTACCGACTCGGCCGCTACCCATTGGGTTACGCTTCTCGATTCCAACGGTATCATTGGCCCAGATGGAAAGAAGATCCGGACTACAACTACTGTCCAGAATCCTAAAGGCAAATCTGACCAGCTTGCTGTCATGTTTGACACTGGTACCTCTCTGCCACAGGTATGCAGCCGTACTGCTCTCAACATACCGTTTGATAGTAACTTATTGAGCATTTAGCTTCCTTCTTCGGTCCTGACCGCAATATACGGTCGCGTACCAGGTGCTCAGTTCCTCAAGGAAAGAGGATACTGGCGGCTACCTTGCGATTACGAGCTAAATGTGACCTTTGTGCTTGGAGGTCAGGAGTATCCCATCTCGCCCCTTGATATGACATTGCCAATTGGTCAGGAGAACGGGAAACCCGTCTGTATTTCCTACGTATGTTTACCTTCTGTCTTCCTGATATCAAGCGCTCACCGCGATTCTGCAGTTCAAGGAGACACCTGCTGGAAGCAAGACCGGCTACGACGCAATCCTTGGCATGGCATTCCGTAAGTCACTGCTTTCTACGGTCTTATTTTTCACGATACTCACAGCGACATTACAGTACGAAACGTCTACCAACTCTTGAACTATGGAGACTTCGTAGACGGTTCAAACTCCACGGTTGCAGACCCGTATATGCAACTCTTAACCACTATCGACAAAGGCGCTGCACATCGTGATTTTGTCAACCTGAGGTTGGGAGGTACCGATACATCTGGATCGCAGAAAGCATTGTTGCCCCCTCCTCCAAACTCTGAAGTTCCTCCAAATTCGGACGCAGATGGTCCACCTGTTAGAGCTGCGAATGGTGCAGCGGGAATTCACCCAAGCCATGCTTTATTCGTAATGAGTGCTAGTATATTGTTGTCGTTCTTTCT